AAATATATATTATTTTGCACAATAAAAGAATAAATGTATAAATTAGGAAATTATAATTTTGTAGTCATGGGCAATTCAAAATACTTATCCATTTAATTCAAATGCACAACGATGGCCTTAAACTGAACAGAGTTTTAGATCTGATTAATGAGTTGATTACAAAAATGTGTCAGCAGTAATCAATAGATCCTGCTCTAGTGATCTGTTACTTATTAGTAACAGGGCAAGATGGATGTGGTGGCCATATTAATGCCCCCAAGACAGACCATGTCAACACCAGACCATAATATTTCGCTGAACATATTAATGAGAAACACAGTCGTGGGCTATTCAGGCTACGACATATTGACAAGTTAAGCATGATAATCCATTTTCAGAACCATTCTCCTGTGCCTTGATTTGCATTAAAATCCAAGAATATTATCAGAAATGGTTTTTGGTAAACACACGATCATGATGAACAACTGTGATATTAAAGAGACCTCATTTTTAGATTTTTCCTTCCTATGGGACAACACAAGAATGTCATAAGAAGAGCATATGATTCAGCATTGTGGAAATGCTTCATAAATGTGCATGTGCGATTATTAACAGATCAGTCTTCAGTGCTGTCAGGACCTCAGTGTTCAGTCTCTGTGAGAGAGCAATCCTGGATCAAAGGTCGTTATAAGCGTTTTCCATCAGAACAATGGTGGTAAAAGTCCAATTAGCTGTTTGTTGAGTGCTGGAGATCAATCGCTGCCACAGACCGACTGATTCTTCTGTCCGCAGTCAATAAAGCTGGCTGATGTATATGTAATTAACAAATACTTGAGTGTAATACAGAGTAAGTTTGTGGGCATCGTGGGCCATGGGCTGTGAGAGAGTGATATGGATGAGGTGCAGAAATCCTGCATATTGGATCTCTGGGGTTATATAAAGGCCAGACTGATCCGTGGTGAGCCACAGACGCATGGCGTGTCAGGAAGACTTTGGACCAGGATTCCTGTGTACAGCGGCAATGATGAACGGTAATATATTTAGATTTTGCTTTATTTGTACCTTGAAACAATCATCAATCAATTAGTAATTTTTACATTTAGTCATTATTTTTTAAATGAAGTTTTACATCACAATATGAAAGTCAGCTGCCGTTTTCATGTTTTGCATAAACCTCATAAAATTTTGTTAGAACAAACAATTCAAAGTGTCTGGGCCTAGATAAATATATATCTGACCTGATATTTCTTTTGCTGTGCTGTGCATCTGCAGTCTCCGAGTCGTCTCGGGCTGGTTCTCCAGACGCCGGCTGGACCTGCAGCAAAGCTCCTGAAGTGGCCAGCGTCAGAGTTCAGCTGGAGATGCAGAGCCTGTGGCAGCAGTTTGACCAGCTCGGCACTGAGATGATTGTGACAAAAGCTGGAAGGTTTCACCAGATATCACACCTTTGCTAATACAGTCTCTTCGTGGCATTACGTTAGCAATTCCATGTGTGCAGTGTCTGAAGAACGAGTGAGTGCTGACGCTGTTGTGGGGTTTTTTGAGGTTCTTGGTGGCTGTTTGGACACTGTTTGCCAACCCAAGCCAAAGAGCCTCACAAACGGTGCAGGAGCCACACACTAAACTTCAGTAGTTAGGGTTAGGGATCTGACCAATGGTAATAGTGATTATACCACTACTAAACTGTTAGTATTATTATTATTTGCATTATGATAAGCCTGTGACCTGCATATATTGACTGCTGTTGTTTGTTTTCATACAGAAGGATGTTTCCTACATTTCAAGTACACATTTCAGGCATGGACCCTGCTGCAGAATATGTTCTCCTGTTGGACTTTATTCCTGTCGATGACAAACGATACAGGTATCAGATCAGAAAAAAGGGTTCTGAACATTTTTAATGGTTTTAATTTTGGTGAAGAGCCAACAAAAGATGCTTTGTTTAAATGGTTTGGTCACACTTTATTTTAAGGAC